ATAGATAGATTATAGAGAGAGACATGGGTATCGAATGGTAATCGATTATATTTTATTGTAAACGTGGAACGAAAAATGGGTAGTGAAACGAAGATGTGGGACAAAAAACGAGTGCATCAGAAGGACAACACTAACTTTTTAAGAGAATATGCAACGGCAGCAGTGCTCTCTACCGTTAAAGCTGGAGGGTCATTTCAAGTCAACTTCTGAGTCAGAGATGGCGTATTCAGGTATCGTTATAAAATACGCCAGCATCGAGCCATTGGTTTCTTATTACACTACTCCACGAGAAAAAGCAACAGAGAAATCCCGAGCCGTACCTGGTTTACTGCTGTCGCTTTGTGTCGTCATATAAAAAAGAGCGTTTTTAAAGAAAGAAATAACATGTACATGTCCAATGTACCGTAGTAGGTATGTAACAATGGGATGAATTCTCAAGTGTTCCAATCTGCTGCAGTTTTAAAGATAAGATAAGATAATACTATTTTATCCCAGAGGGGATTTTTTCTTGGCTGTACAGGACCGCAAAAACACATGCGAGTATGCATAAAAGAATTAAACTATATATTACTCTAATTAAAATTCAATATTAAAAGAGAAGTAAAGCTGACAAAATGTACATTCACATCAAATGCATCATTCAACCACATGCAGGAATTTAAATAAAAGACGTTTGGATTATATATAGCTATATACTCTAAGAGCAACACACATCTATGCTAGATGGTAAAACGCTTCTTTTATATCTTTCTTTCTTTGTTTTTGGATGTACATATCTGCCGCTGCGTGATCTTACAATTTGTGTCTTTTTTATACATGTGGTGTTATACATTTCATCCATTCTATTAAAATCATATCCAGAGATCTTACCTTATGCAGTTGCGAGTGCCGTAAAACCTCTACTAAAACTAAAACCAGAGATCTTGCTGGCTTTCTTAATGGTTCTGTTAAATTTTTCTTTATCTTTCACCTTACAATTCCCACCCAAGCAGCAAATACAAAATAATAGCACACTTTCAATCATAGAATGGTAAAAAAGGGACATAATATTATTGTCAACACGGAAACTTCTTAATTTCCTTAAAAGAAACATTCTTTGGTTTACTTTTTTATGCACAAGAGCAGCGTGGGGATGCCAGCCAAGTTTGTTACCTATTGTTTCACCAATATACTTGTAAGAGCTTACCACCTCCACCTCCTCATCTTTAATAAACAGTGGTTGCAATTGGTTTTTTTTTACTCTGAAGTCTATTATTAATTCCTTTGTCTTTTTTACATTTAGTAAAAGGAAGTGTTTATCACACCAATTTGTAAATAGATTCCCAGCGCCCCTGTATTCATTCTCTTTTTGTTGTTATAAGGCCACGTAGAGTGGAATCATCCGCACGTTTTATTAGTTTGATGTTTTTGTTGTGAATACGGAGATCTGTAACAGCCTCGTCGCCACTGAGCAGCGCCAGTGTTATTATTTCGGCTCGACTCGATCGCCTGCTGGATCAGGCCGATCCCAGCCGTAGTGGGCACCCCGTAGAAAACAAACACGTTTGTTTTTGAGGCGATCCTATCGGCCTATCCCATACGTAGTGGGCACCCCGTATTTGTTTTCAGTTTCTGGCGATCGGCCCGATCCAGCCGGGCACCCCGTATTTGGTATAGAATAAGCGACCCCCCCGCTTATTATATTTTTGGTTTTTTTTTTCGCGCCCGGGCCCGATCCAGCCGGGCACCCCTTCCCCCCCCCCCCCCCGGTTTAAATTTTCAACATTATCTAGAATCCAGATATCTGAATTAAACTTCTTTTTTTTTGGGTGTAAATGGCAAATTACCCCCAGTATTAGTACCAGTACCGGGTTTGCTACCTCAATTTTTTGTACATTTTAAAAACTTTTTTACTTTGATATATAGACATAAAAAAAAAAATGAAACTGGTTTGTTCCTAAATGGGAAAAGTTCTCATAGTAACGTACTAACATCACTAAAATTTTATGATCTCTTGTTCTTTTATTCACTGAAGGAGAAGGAAGAGGCAAGCCGTACTTAATGACAGCTAGACTGCTAGGCTAAGTACGGCTAGACAGCTGGGCTAGCCGTACTTATTCTTAATATGACTCTAGACTGACGACAAAAAAAAAATGGCCTACTGAATTGTAAATACATTTTTAGGTTGCAGTACCTTAAGTATTTGTATTTGAGACGAAACCAGGTGCCTTAATGACAGTGCATGCATTTTAAACCTCCAGTTTTCTAATGTTAATAGGGCCTAAGATAAGTACGGCTAGACTGGCAAGCTAACCGTACTTGATGGCTGAATTGTAAATGAAATTTTTAGTTTGCAAAGCCTAAAGTATTTGTATTTCAGACCAAACCAAAAGGTGCCTTACTGACTTGCATTATTTAAACCTGAATAACTACTTGATCTAGATCTAATGAGACCTGTGTACCTAACAGGTTCGAGTTGATAGGGCCAAACCTAGATTTAAGTACGACTAGACTCTCAGGCTACTTTAAGTACGGCTAGCCACTTCGGAAGGAGAAATAAAACCGTTTTGTTCCTATAAGTAGGGTATGAGGTTGAATGTGGTGCAACCCCCCCTTTTTTAAATATTCCAACCACTTTCCCCCGTTTGATAATTTTGGACCATTTGTCCAATCCCCCTCCCTTTTTATTAATACCCCCCCCCCCTTTATTCTATACCTTAGAGTATTATTCTTTCAATTACATGTATGTCATTGTCGCTCTCCAACTGGTAGAGCTGGACAATGAGTCGCTTCAGCAAAATCCGGATAATATTTTAGTGCACCTCTTCGGCTAATAATATGATATGAACCGCTTCGGCAAATGGGTTAGAACCACTTCGACAAACGGGTTAGCACTACTTCAACAAACGGGTGCACTCACTTCGGCAAACGGGTCAGGAAAGAGAGTAAAGAGTCTGAATTTGGATAACGTTTCATTGAGAATTTTCCGGTTATCCTTAAGGATTATCCGGATTTTGCCCACCTCTACCAATTGGGTCTGTCAGGAGATATGTCTTTCCTTGTCAAGGGATTAATGTAGAAGTATTTCTCGTTTTCTGCATATTTTTATGTAATTATGCAACTTTTTATGTTATTGTACTTTGCATATTTATTTATTTTCTTGTTGGCGGGTAATGTAGGGTAGTTTGTTCCTTCTTTCCTCTCAAATATCTAGATATCTATAGTCCTTATCTCTCCTCCTTTTTTGCGTCTGTTACTCTCTTGTAATATCTCACATCTTCGGCCACCTGTATGACGTAATTGTGTTGCAAATGCCACAAAACACAAAACTCTTATCTAAAAGGGAATGTATACAGACCCGGTAACCGGGAACAAAGTCACAAAGTATCCAGACTCTTTTGTGATTTCGGAAAGTTTGAGCGCCCTCTTGGCTTAGGGTAGACCAAGGTTCTTCTAGATCTATATGGTCGAGGTCTAGATCTAGACAGACAGATATAAATCATTGGTCTAGTTTCGAGGTTAGCCTAGATCTAGATCTAAATGAAGATTGCGGATGTCTTTTCGATGAACGATCGTTTTTCCTCCGTTTTTGGAGTTGGAGGAATCACAATTGGAAGAAAAAAACCCCCAATGTCATAATTTCAATCGAGCAGTCACTCTCTCTCTCTTTCTCTCTCTCTCTCTCTCTCTCTCTCTCTCTCTCTCTCTCTCTCTCTCTCTCTCTCTCTCTCTCTCCTCTGTCTCTGTGTATCGCTCGCATTCTCTTTTTCTTTGTTTGTCCCTGTCTTTCTTTCTCCCTACCTATTTCCAACTCTATCTTTCTCTCGTTCCCTCCTGTCAACTGGGGCATGTCATATACATTTTGCTAGCACATCCCCCTGCTCTCTCTCTCTCTCTCTCTCTCTCTCTCTCTCTCTCTCTCTCTCTGTCTCTCTCTTTCTCTCTCTCTGTCCCCCCCCCTCTCTCTCTCTCTCTCTCTCACACACACACACACACACACACACACACACACACACACACACACACACACACTACCGGGCACGGCCCGTAACTTTCCGACATCACAAAAGAGTTCCCTTACCGGCCGAGAGATATGATTCTTGTTCCCCGCTTGCCACACCTTTTTTTAAAAAACCTGTTTTTAAGGGGGAGGGGGGGGGGAAAAAGGGGGGGGGGCCCCGGGGGGGGGGGGGGGGGGGGGGAGGTGAGGGGGAGTCTAACAACATCCTCAGCCTGTTCGTGTCGGTAGTCTGTGAGGAGCGAAGTTGCTTGTCGTGCGTTATGTCCGTCAGATCGGGCCAGTCCCCCAGTGGCGTTGTGTTTTTCCAGCAAAGCTCACCTTCAAAATACCGGTTGGAGCGGGTGACTCAGAAATAGATGAATATACACTTCAAGCCTGTTACCCCATCTCCTGTCCCCTCCACATTCTTAACTCCAACCCCTTCCACTTTCCTGCTTTAAAAAATGTAGGGGGTTTAACGCCCCCATCAACACAATTTAGATCACAGGCGTCCGACCTTTCATATCAGGGCCAACCCGGACGAAAGGGAACTATATAATTTCAGCAGAAAGAGACAAACATTTCCTCCCCCCCTCGGGAACATAGCTCGGGTCTCCAGCTTGCAACAAGGAAGTGTCTAATCGCTACACCACGGACGCTGGTCCGCTTACCTGCACTCTTCCGAGAAGGCTAGGTGTTAGATCTTACCTACTCTTAGATCAGGGGTGTGGCTAATAGACGGAAGTCAAGTTAGAAGGAGCTAATGAGAAGATCTAGTACTAGAAAGGCCGCAGAAAAAAGTCAGAAGACCAGAGGTGGAAAAAGGGGTGGGGCAGAAAGTTGAGAGGAAAGCAGACTATGAAACATGATTAGGGAACAAGAAATGAGGTGAAAGGAGGAATTTTTTAAAAGAGAAAATACTTTTCCGTCGCTTTTAAGTTTCGAGCCCGGGACCTATTGAATGAGAGGCCAACCTCGTACATGTACCTCTAGACCACGAGAGCCTCCTTTCAAATCTTACCAGTGAGCTTATAAGTTAGAGACGGGTGCTCCTTCTCAGATCGCACAGGATGCTGAAGTTGCTGCATCGTGATGAAAAATCGAGGCCACCCCAGGCACTGGCAAAACAGTCGACACAAAGCACTAAGCCAAGGAAGGGTTAATTCGGTGATTTTCACCTGAAAGAAAAAAAAAAGAAGAAAAACATCGGACAAGTTAAAATATCTATCTATCTATCTATCTATCTATCTATCTATCTATCTATCTATCTATCTATCTATCTATCTATCTATCTATCTATCTATCTGCGTGACGTGCGTCTGTGTATGTGTGTGTGTGTGTGTGAGTGTGTGTGAGTGTGTGTGTGTGTGTGTGTGTGTGTGTGTGTGTGTGTGTGTGTGTGTGTGTGTGTGTGTGTGTGTTTGTCTGTATAAACCCGGTTATCATATCGTCCTATTTAGACATCAAGGAATCCAGTTTTTCATAACTCTTCGAAAACAGGTTTTTGACAAAGGCTTTATCTTTATTTGTCTCCTTCCACGATCAAGGATCATGAATTCCCTGCTCCCTTTGCTTTATTTCAGGACCAGGGGAAAACGCCAGTCACGCGTGACTTCGTAAACTATCCAAGACCCGGGTAGACCCACTCCGTCGGGTGGACATACTAGGCAGAACAGGTAGGTAATACAAAGCGGCAACCCGCCCACCCCAAAACCCGACGTCCAGGACAGAAGTTTCCTTTTTAAGGACACGACTCGCATTACTTGTTAAGACAGGAACGCGTTAGGGCGTTTTCCCTAATGATGATAATAATAGATAGCATTTTTATAGCGCATATCTCCGCTCAACAGCAGGCTCTATGCGCTTTACACTATATTATTACTCCAGCAGACCATAGAACACTCCGAAACATTCTCAGCTTCCCGGGAAGCATACAGTGCGAGCAGCCGATTAAGCGCTCAAACACTAACAAACTGACAAGATCTTTCGCTGTCTATAGCCGGGTACCCTTTCCCACCTGGGTGAAGTGAGGAAAATTCGTGTGAAGTGCCTTTCCCAAGGACACAACGTCGGGTCCCTGACGGGATTCGAACCCACGACCTTACGGTTGCGAGTCCGAGAGCCTAACCACTGGGCCATCGACGCCCTAGCCAAGAGGCTTTCTGTACATCACCTTGGATAACCCCACTCACTGTACTTTAGTAGAATTTATTGACTACATGCCTAAAAAAGAATATTAAACAGCATGCAGTTCATGTACGTATCTCGAATTAGGCCTTCTGAGTTACTCAGAAAAGCAAGATCTATAACCATGAATAATGTACTTATAGGGGCACCAGCCACCCGTGTTCAAGTGCTGTTTTAGCCACGTATCTCTAACTAGCCAGCATGTGAGAGGGTGACTGAGACCACAGACGTTAGAGTGAGCGTGAGTTCAAATTAATCACCAGCAGGTAGAGGGTGATACTTTCAGGGGAAAAAAAAATAATTTGAAAAAGAAAATGGGGATTGAGATTGTTCAGTAATTCCAGAAAGACAAAGATTTTTCCAGAATTGAAGCCTCATGCTAGACACTTAAAATGTCTACTTAAAAAAACAAACATATTCAAACATATATAAACAAACGTCCCCACAGACACAATTTAGATCATTTTAAGCGGGCGTCCAACCCAGCCAGCCGAGGCTAACCCTCGGAATTAGAAGGATACATCTCAGCAGAAAGACCGGAGATACTCGATGCAATTTTTCTCCCCTCCGGGGAATCGAAATTCGTTCTTCTGCGCACTACAGCGAAGCGCTTAACGACTACGCCATAGACGCCGGAAATATCTATAGTGGTCTCCTTTTTTTTGGTATGTGTTTTACGGCGCTCGCAACAGTAACTGCATAAGGTCATATGAGTGCGCGGGACACTTTAAACATTTTTAGTTGGTAGGAAATTTTTAATTTTGCCCGGGTGGCGGCCGAAGCCTACTTCTATCGATTTTAGACCACCAAGGAATCTTTAATGTGCGTAACTTGCACACGGGATCTCCGAGATTTTTCGCCCTTATCCAAGAGAGCTAGGTGTTAGGTTATATCTACCCTAAGATCAGGGGTATGGCTGAAACACAGCAGTGAGACGGAACCAAGTGGTAGTAGTAGAAAGGCGGCAGAAAGAGTCAGGAGCCCGGTGAAGGGGGCAAAGGAGGGTGGAGATGGCGTCAGAAACTTGAGACCAAAGCAGACGACAGAACATGGTCAAAGAGCAAGAAACGGGTCAAATGAAAAAATCAAGAGAAGAAACTTTTCGGTCAGTTTTCGAATCAAGGACCTGCGAGTGGAAGTCTGTTATACATAGCTATGTATGTGTGCATGTAACCGCTAAACCATGAGAGCCCCATGAGACTCATTATACGCGGTCTGTATTTCTTGTGAGAAACAACTCAAAAAAGAGGTGAGTGTTGATGTCTGAAAACCTTTGGGTGATTGTATATGTGCTGTTTTTAATTGCTTGCTCTGTGGTGAAAGAAGCTGCGGGATCTTAATTCAAAATTAATTCCTACCAAACTGAACATGTTTAATGTGTCCCACGCGCTCATATGACATTACTAGCTGAGTACCCGGCTTTGCTCGGGGTCGACGCCTTGCCGTCACTGCTCCTTTTACATCGACATTGCTGTCTAGCCTTTCTCAGTCACACCTGGCTTCTAGATCTACATGTATATGGGAGGCAGGGTGGTGGAATCAGGCTCTCGTCAAAATAAGCAAAGTGAAGAAACTGGCATTTTTCTGCGGGTTTGTGAATTTTTATCAAATTTTTGTTTTTTGACTCAACACCTTTCATGCCCATTAAAGAACTCATTTCTGTGTGGATTTTTCTGAAAAACGTTGATTAAAGGCACAAAAAATGTAAATTTTCAGTTACCACGGACTCTTCAGCTAAGGAAATAACTAATCTTTGGCGGCCATTTTCTCGCTAGTTTTACCTCTGAAAACAGGTGACCCCCACCTCCTTCTTTTGCAAATATCTCGACTTGTATTCAAGATAAATGGATATTTTGTTCATCCAAATGAAGACAAGTGAACAGGCTTTAAGATGATGCCAATAACTCTACACGCCCAAATTTTGACGAGAGCCTGGTTCCACCACGCTGCCTCACATATCACTTTAGATTAGGTCTGCCTTGATTAACTCCTCTCTTGATCTGCATGACTTTAGAGTATTGCTGTCTAGCCATTCACAATCACATATTACGGGTTTCGCCTTACGCCATCACAAAAAAGCACTTCGGCGAAAGTTAAAGAGCGGTAAGCGAGAGTTCCGGTACTGGGTATCGATACTGCCCAGCCTTAGCGAGAAGTCTTGGAACTAAAGCAGGGGTTCTCTCTCAACCTGTGGGGTGGGGGTGGGGGGGGGGGGGGGGGGTGGTCGCGTGATCATTCTTGGGGGGTCGCCAGATCATTTTTGTGCTAAAATGACCCTGTGAAAGCTAGAACATTGCTCTTCTTCCTGACCTGGCAATTTAAAAAAAAGTTTCCCTCTTCAGTTGGCTGAGATAAGAAAAAAGGTAAATACCTGAACTTCTAAACACAGCCAAAGAATCAACACGGCTACACCAGTTTGCCCTTCCTGTTTATTTGGGCTTATCTTAGGTTTGGCTTGCAGTGTTTTCTTTTGTTTTCACGTATAATATAGCCTAGCCATAGGCCAACGCACAATACATTGAAGCCTCGTTTTTGACGAGCTACATGAGTGCTGGCTTTGAAGAAGGGGGTCACAGGGGGAATCATGATAGTCATGCATATTTTCATCCAGACCTTTCTCGCCCAAGTTTAATTTGTGTGCGCCTAGGGCCTGGCGTAGATCTAAGCCATGCCCAAGGGATACCACTGTAAAAAATAATTATCTCAGAGACTCCGTTTCATTATTATTGTCTCTTTGTAATCCCAAGTAGTATGATGTAGGCATCTAGCTCGTCGTCTCTAAAAAGATCATAAGCTTAGCTGAGAGAAAAATCGATTCATTATAAAGCTATGTTGTTGCGTAACAGAACAATAAACACACAAGAAAAGCTATGTCAGGAAATTTGACAAAGGAGATAAAGAAGTTGGAAGAGAGAGAGAGAGAGAGAGAGAGAGAGAGAGAGAGAGAGAGAGAGAGAGAGGTGGCACAGTTGAATGTCTGGTGTTTAAGTGAGGCTAGTGCAAAGAAATTGCAGCAAGTTCCCCTTTCAAATGTTGCTGTCAAGAGGCATATTGCACGCATGTCTTCAAACATTAAGGAACATATTGTAGAGGAGATCAAAGCTGCCCATATGTTCTCGTTCCAGCTTGACGAATCAGTTGATCTGGCATCGTGCTCACAGTTACTTGTCTTTGTGAGATACGTATTTGGAAAAAAGATGAGAAAGAAGAAATTTTATTTTGCACCACACTGGACACCACAACAACAGCTGATGATGTCATGAACAAGGTATCCACATTTTAAAAAAAACGAGAGTCTTGAGTGGAAGAATGTATGTGGTATTTGTACTGATGGTGCCCCAGCCGTGATAAGATCTAAGTCCTGCTTTCAGACAAAAGTGCAAGACAAAGCACCACATGCAAAAGGTATTTACTGCATGATACATAGGTATGCACTAGCTTGCAAAACTCTCAATCTCACTTTGAAGGAAACGTTGGAATCTACTGTTAAGGTTGTCAACTATGTGAAACGCAGCCCCCTAAATACACGACTCTTCAATCAACTCTGTTCTGACATGAGTGCAGATCCTGAAACACTGCTTTTCTACTCTCAAGTTTAATGGTAATCGAAAGGAAACATTGTATGTCGGGTCTTCGAGCTGAGAGAGGAGATCAAGTTCTTCCTGGAAGTGCAGGAAAAAGATGAGCTCACCAGGCACTTCTCGAATGATTTGTGGATCCAAAGACTTGCCTATAATGTATATGTCTGATATGTTTGACAACCTCAACAAACTCAACTTGAAACTTCAAGGTCAACAGACACACTTTTTTACAGTTTAAAGGCGTACTGGGTGGCTTTTTTTCAAACGTTCAGAATTGGCACCGGAAAGTTACAGAGGGAAACATTGCTATGTTTGCCAACATTTCACAGCTGTTAAATCCAGAGGAGACCTTGTCTGCTGATCTTCAAATTGACATTGCTGCACATTTGAAATCATTTGAAGATGAGTTCAAGAACTATTTCCTGGCCTTGACTGTGGTGGAAAAGCTTTTGTGAGAAACTCTTTCACTCCTGGACTGGACATCACTGTCATTGCAGATGGCATTCAAGTTCAAGACGAGCTTTTGAAATTGAGACATGATTCGTCAGCACGCGACACGTTTCTTGAGAAATCTCTTGCACAGTTTTGGTGTTCACTCCAGGAATCAAACCCTCAGGTCAGCAAAACAGCACTTCGAGTCATTGTCCCATTTGCCTCATCTTACCTTTGAAAAAGTGGGTTTTCTACCCTTGTCCAACTCAAGACCAAAGTAAGGAACAAGCTGCTTGTTGTTGATTTTTTGCGCCTTGTTTTGTCCAAGACTTCCCCCAGAATCTCAAGACTGGTCCCTGAACTACAGGCACAGCCCTCTCACTAGTTTATTTTTCTTTAAATCCGTGCGTGTGTGCGTGTGTACGTGTGTATGTGTGTGTTTGTGTGTGTGTGTGTGTGTGTGTGTGTGTGTGTGTGTGTGTGTGTGTGTGTGTGTGTGTGTGTGTGTGTGTGTGTGTGTGTGTGTGTGTGTTTTCTCTCCTTTTTCTCGATTTGTATTTGCTTGAAATAAGAGTGACTTGAAACATCAAAGGTACAGTTAGTGGTCTATAATAAATATGTAACGTAGGCCTTATTTATTGTCTGCTGCTGGATTGTACGCATTTGCGGAGGGGGGGGGGGGGGATTAAAAGGGTTTGTTTATTACTTTGTTTCGGAGTTCGGGTATGAGGGGTCGTTCCACTTGCCAAACAATCAAAAGGGGGTCGCGGATTGAAAAAGGTTGAGAACCAATGAATTAAAGCAAAGAGAGGGGTGAACTATCTTGTTGTATACTATCATTGTCACGCATCACGGACAACGCATCCCGCACACATGGATACGCTTAAGGGGGGGGGGCTACACCCCCAAAATCAAAATTCGGCTCAAAATTATGGAATTTGAGTTGTAGGCATTTTTTGTTGGTGGTGTCTGGAGAGTGGAGTTTTACAGATTTTTTGAAAACTTGAATGCTACCTCAGGAAAAAATTCATTAAACATTTTCTAATTCGTTTAGGAAAAAAACAGCGGACCAATTTTTAGATCTAATGTTTGTGCACACGCATGCAAAAAACCCCATTCAATTTCCAAGAGTGATAAGTGCGGTATTCATTACGTAAGACATGTCAACAAAATCGGATACGGCCACCGTATCCATGGAAACGAAACTTTTTCTCAAATTTGATTGCAGATTTAAAGACTCCTTACTATGTTTGTTATATGTGAGAAATTTGGTAAATTTCGGTTCAGTAATAAGCGAGATAGCCTTCAGGTGTAGTTGAATTTCCATTTAAACGTTCTTTACGCTTTACGTATTACGCACTGCGCACTATGCGGTACGCTTAAATGGAAACGGGGCTTTCCTTGTAAAACTGAGCGTGGAAACGAGAAATCCTCGAAGGGTTCTCAGTCCAACGACCAGATATCTGGCGACGCCAGATATTTGCCGGTCGGCGAGCTGAAGGCATGCCGACGAGGGAGCGGCTTCTTTGATGTTGCCCCAGGCGGAGTTACAAATGCGTACCGAAATTTGGTCCCAAAAAAAAAAAAAAAAAAAGATCCCAAAGTTAGTCAATATCACGCGGGGAACACAATTTAATGCCAAATTACCAAGTAATTTTTTTGGGGGTGTATTTTGTCTGTTTTGTCAAGGACTGACACTTTAACGTTACAATAAAAACCCAAACAACTGTACGTCTTAATGGAACTTCTCTCGTCGACAAACTGTCAGTTTAACGATGACCCAGATCTAGCGTCTGTTGGTTAAACTGCCAGTTTGTCGTTGAATGACTGTACGTGTAAAGGGACCCTAGCAGCCGTGTAAGGAGCAACGAATGTTTCTGATTACAATGGAATTGATGGACAAATTGGAACAAGTGAAACTTAAGATCAAAACAGACAAAAGCAAAAAACATGAGAGCGAGCTAAAGTGGAAGATTGTTGTACATAGCAATGTATGTGTCCATGTGTGTGTGTATGTGTTTGTGTGTGTGTGTGTGTGTGTGTGTGTGTGTGTGTGTGTGTG